GAATATTTTGTTTTGTTTATAATATTATTATATTTTAAATATTTAATACAATAAATTTTATTTAAGTTTTAATCATAATTTATATATATTTTTTTATTTTTTTTAATTTATGATTATGATTAAATATTATAATTATATATAAAATTTGTGTTATTAAAAAGAAAAATAAATTTTCTATTTCTTTATAAAAAAAATATTCTAATTAATTATAATTATTATTATTAATAAATTGATAAACATTAATCATATTTTCAAAATATTAAGAATTAATTTTCTTTTAATGAAATGTTTATATTATCTAAAATCAAATTAATTAATTTTTCTTATTATAATTTTAATAAAGAAATATAATTTGTTAAAAAAATACATTAAAAAAACTAAATGAATTTATATTATTCTTATTATTATTTAGGAATAATATTAAATAGCTAATAAATATTAAATATTAATTTTCTTTTAATTCATCTTTTTATAATATTTTTTTCTTTCTTTTCTAACTTTTAATTTTACATGCCATAAATATTTTATTAATTTCGTAAATATTATCTAACCTTTTTATATATATTTCTCGTTTTTCTAATTTAAATTATCTTAATAGAGGAATATTCATTTAAAAAGCTGTTATCAACTTATTTTATAGATAATAATCTAAAAAAATATGCATTTTCTTTACTATTTTTCTCTGATTTTATGTTTATATTTTTTTTCAATATAAAATTTCTTTAGTATCACTATTATTTATATGAATTATTTTACATAATATTAAATTTATTTTAACTTCTTTTAATTATTCTTATTTTTCAATTAATATGAGTCTTTAATTTATATTATATATAATTTTCAATTTATTTATTTCATTTTAATGAAGATTAAAATTTTAATATTATTTATATTAAGAATTTAATTAAATATGGACTTTAGTTTAAGTTTTAATTTTGTATATAATTTATTTTTTAAATTTAGAGATATATATTTTTTTATGTAGATATCTAGTTCTTTGGAATATGTTTAATTAATTTTATTTTTCTATTAAGTTTTAAACCTAGATCATAATAAAAAATACTTTAATTTTATTTAATTTGGAATATTATTTTTCAGATTTTTTTTAATAAAAGTTTTGCTCATCTTTAATCTGTTTTTATTTTAATATTTATTTATGGAAAATAACTAAATAAAAAAATATCAAAATTATTTTTTAGGTAAACTTTTTAATCAAAAAAATACCAAAAAATATATTAAATTATTAAGAAATAAATCAGAATAAAATATCTTTATAATATTTTAAATATAAATATGAAAATATTATTTATTGATGAATATTTATTATTTTATATTATAAACTTCACTAAAAAAAAAAAAAATCTTAAAGCAAAGCTGCTCTTATTTTAACTAAAATAAAAAAAATTAATAATCCAAATTGAAAAAAAACAAAAAAATTTAAAAGAATAAATAAACAAACAATAACTAAAAAAATAAAAAATAAAAAAAAATCTAAATAATAAAATTAATAATCTCTATAAGTAATTTTTAATTTATTCTTCATTTAAAATCGTCATCGTCTTCGTCTGGAAGTTGAGCATTTTCTACTTCTTATAATTCTTTCTACATCTAATCAATGTGAGCTTAATCCATCACGATTTCAGGAGGAGGAAGAGCTATACTTTCCACAAGAACTAAATTCAAATCTCCTATGAGTTTTTTGATAATCCATAAGAAAGGTTTTTCATATTAATAATTAGATTTAGCTGAAACATCATAATATTAAAGCGATCTTCTTCTATGAAATGTTATCTATCTAGCTTTAACTTTTCTATCTTTAGAATCAACTTTGTTTCCGATTATGACTATAGGGATGTTATCGCAAATTCTAGTCAAATCTTTATGCCATTTAGGTATATTTTTATAAGTAATTCTTGAAGTTACATCAAACATCATAATAGCTGCGTGTGCTCCAATACTTTTGTTTGTTTAAAAATATTATTTTTTATTTAGTTTTTTTTTTTTTCTTTTTACTAATATCCTTCTCTTAATCCTCCTAATTTCTCTTATCCGGCTGTGTCCCATAAGTTTAATTTTATAGGACCATGATTTGTACTTAGTATTAAAGATGATATGTTCACCCCTTACGTGGCTATATACTTTTTTTCAAATTCTCCTGTTTAATGTCTTTTTACAAATGTCGTTTTTCCAACTCCACCATCTCCTACAAGAACTATTTTGAATTCAGCTACATATTGCTAGTTTTGATTAGAATGTTAAACGTTTTGCTGTGTATTTTTATTTATTAATATTTGAAGATATAAGAATTTTTTTTTTACCATATGTATTTCTTTATTTTTTATAGGATTTTAATTATTGTTTATATATTTATATAAAAAAAACTATAAATTCTATAATTTGGAAATTAAATGATTTTTTTTGTGTATTTTTATTTTTAGCAAAAATTTTACTAAATAAAAAATTCAAATTCAAAATTTTTTAAATTTAATATATAGACAATAATTTTTTTGATTATTATTTTATTATAAAATATTTCATATAATTTATATAAAAATTAAATTAAATTGATTAACAAACACCGTCTTTTTATATATTAAATTTCTTAATATATTATTTCAATAATTTAAATTTTTAAGAAAATATAATTATATATTATTTATTCAATTAAACAATCTATAGATATTTTATTTATTTTTGTAAATAAATAAATATTTTAAAATTTATTTTAATTTTAAATAATTAGTAGAAAACATATAATATTTTTTATTTTATCAGTATTTTTATAACAAAAACAAAATTAACAAAAAATTTATACTAAAAAAAAATATTGTTACTTTTTTTAATTTTAATTAAATTAAAAAAATACAGAAAAATTGAAAATAATTATATTAAATTAAAGATTAATATTTATTAATACTCTAAAATATTATTTTTTACTTGAAGAAATATAAAAAAAATTATTTTTTTAAATTTTTAACTATTTTTAATATGTTTAGATATATATTTAAATTTATACGACTATTTATTTATTTATATAAATAAATAAATTATTATTTAAAATAATGCATTTATATAAATATAATTTTAAATTTTTTTTAGTAATAAATGTAGTTAAAAAAATATTTTTATATTTACAAATTATTTTATATTTAAAAAATACAAAAAACAAATTACCTTTTAATTGTATAAAATTTATATGAAAATATAAATAATTTTTAATTCTTGAATTTATTAAAAAAATATTAAATATTTTATTAAATTTTAATAATATTATATATAAAATGTAATAAATAAATATATTTGTTTCTATAAGTTATTAAATAACTATTCTATATAATATAATTTTTTCTTTTTTTTTCTTAGTTTTTTTATCTAAGATAATTTTATATAGTTTTTAAGGATATATTAAAATATATTTTATTGTTATATAGTATTCAAATAATTAAAATAATTTATAATACAAATTTATAAAAAAATTCAAATTTAATATATAACTTAAGTTTAATTAGATAATAAAATAAATTTTAGATTTAATATTTAAAACATATATTTTATATATACATATATTTTACATTTATATTTTATAAATATATTAATTTTTTAAAAAAAAATTATAAATAATAATAAATTATTGCTATTTATATAAATAAGAATATCAAAATTTTTAAAAACTAATAATAGAAATTATAATTTTCTTTAATAATATATGGATGGAGAATATATATGTTTTTATTTTTATCTAGTCAAAATAAATATACATTATAAAAATGATTAATATATTTTACTTAAATTAAATTTATTATATATTAATATTTTTTTTATCATTTATTCTTAAGTTATATTTCAAAATAAACCTAAATAAAAAAAAAAGATAATATATAGAACAACTTATTTACTTTATAAATTAATACTAAAAAATTTTATCTTAAAATCACAAATATACAATATTTTATTAATATATATTTTAAGAATAATATAATTGATAAATACATATTTATCTGATAAATAAATTAATTTTATTTTATCTTTTAATAGAAACTTAATTTTATAATAATATAAATTAAAAATAATATAAAATTAATAAAGTTAATTTTATTTTTTAATTATACAATAAATTCGTGTATATTACAAATTAAATGAATTCATAACTTATTTATAAAATCTTTAAATATTACTATTTCTCTGTATTTTTTAAAAATATTCAATCAATATATAGAAAATACAGTTATCTTATTTTTTTCTTTATTAGCTTAATCATTTCGTTTAAAAAAAGTTTAAAAAAATTACAAATTACAGAAAAAATATAACAAAACATTTAAATAATAAATCAAATAGGAGAATGAATTTAAAATAATTAACATTCAATTTCAAAATGACATTTATTAATAAAAGATAATTACATAATAAAATTTATAATTAGAGTAATAAAATATAATTTAATAATAATAATATGATGATTATTCTTATGATATATTTAATTAAGGTAGTAAATTTAACAAATAAAATAATATCAACTAAGAAGCATAATATATTATTTATAAGTTAAATTATATATAATCATCAATTTATAAAATTCCATAAAAATATTGATAAAATGAATATAATATTAACTAACTTTTAGAATTATAATTTTATTTTATAATATAACCCAATAATTATACTATAAATATCTAAATAATTAATATTAATAAAAATAGAATAATCAAAATTATTAATAACACTAAAATTAAATATTATAAAATTTTTATTACTAAAATATTTAATTATTAGATTAAAATTATGAATAAATAATTTAAATAACAATAATAGGATATTATATTAATAATAATAATTTTTTTTAATGTTTTGAAAAATAATATATTTTTATTAATAATCTCAAATTTATTTTTTTATTTATAATTATTTATATTTATCTAATTCTTATATTAAAAATTTTATCTTATTTAAATATATTTATTTACATATTTTATATTTTATTTTTATATAAATTATTTAGTCATTTTTTTTTTTTTTTATACATAGTTTTTATTTTTAATATGATTTTATACTAATTTTTATTTTTTTATTATTTATTATATATTTCTATTTGCTCTTTAAATTAGTTCAATAAATTATTTGATTTCTCTAACCATTATTGCTCTTTTTAATTAATCTCAAATTTACTTTATTTATATTTCTATATGTCTTCTAATGATTCAAAATAAACTTATTATGCAATATTTAATTAAGGTCTTTCCTCTGTATCAATTATCAATTATTAATTAACTATTAAGATATTTACTACTTAAATTATTATGATTTATTTTAGAATAAGATATTAATTTTTTCGCTTTGTTTTTTTATTATACATATATTGAGTTTATGTACATTTAAATATTCAATCTTTTATGTTTTCGTTATATAAAATCATACTTTTTGAATCTATTATTTTATTGATGATTAATTCGTACTATATTTTTAACCTAAATAGACATAGAATAACTGATTCGACTATTTTCTACGTATTTAAACATAAGTAAATTATTGGTTCTATTTATTTTTAACCCTTTATCACATTATTTTAGAAGTTTTTTATATTTCAATTATTTTTTTTACAAATAACAACATTTATTTTATTTAAAAAAAAAAAAAATTTAAATTGTATTTTAACTAATATTTAATAAAATTAGCATTTTTATGTTTTTCATTTGAATTTTTTTAGCTTATTTTTTATGTTCTTCTTATAAATTATTAATTTATTAAAAAAATTCGTTTATCGCTCACTTTAATAGGAAAATAAAAAGATTTAAATTCATGATTAATCTATAGTTAAAAATAATATTTTAAAAAGTTTTAAATATATAAATTTTTAACTAGATGACTGTATAAAATATGAATTCATATATAATTAGTGAAACCTAGAAGTATGTATTATATAATTTTCTATTTAAATAAATATTTATATGATATTCATATCAAATAATTTTGAAGAATAGATTCTAATATTTTATATATTTATACTTATTAATTAAAGTTATAATAAAATAAAACAAATAAAATTTATGTTTATTTGAATTAATAATTCTGAATAAAAATACTTTTTTTTTTAATGTGTTTTAATAATTTTAATTTACTTAATTTTTTATTTTATATATTGGAAATAAAAATATTTAAATTTTGAATTAACAAAAAATATTAATTAAAAAGTTAAAATTAAAAAATTAATTATATTTAAAAAAAAAAATATAAAATATGATAGAGTATACAATTATATAAATATAAAAAATATAATTTAGTTTTTAATTTATATAAAATACATAAAGAAAAAATAAAAAAAATCTAATAAAATGGAAGAAAAAGATTAACGTACAAGAAATATTGAACATTTTAAAATAAAGAAATTAATGAAAAAGCTCCAATTCACCAGAGGACAAGGAACCTCAATGGTATCATTAATTCTTCCTCCTAAAAAGCAAATATCTGATGCTACCAAATTATTAAATGAAGAATATGGTAAAGCTACAAATATAAAAGACAGAATAAACCGTTAATCAGTTTAAGATGCAATGACATCAGCTTTACAACGTATATTTTTTTTTTTTAATTTTTTGTTAAAAAAAAATATATAGGTCTTAAATTATACACTAAAACACCAAATAATGGGCTTATTCTATATTGTGGAAAAGTATTAAATGATGAAGGGAAAGAAATAAAGCTTTTAATTGATTTTGAACCATATAAACCCATAAATACATCTCTTTATTTTTGTGATAGTAAATTTCATGTAGAAGAACTTGGTGGATTATTAGAAACTGAACCTCCATTTGGTTTTATTGTTATGGATGGTTCAGGCGCATTATATGCTAGTTTATAAGGAAATTCTAAAATAGTAAATAATATTTATTTATTTTTATTTAAAAAATAAAAAATAGATTCTCAATTCGTTTTCAGTAGAATTACCTAAAAAGCATGGCCGAGGAGGTCAATCTTCTGTTCGTTTTGGGCGTTTAAGAGTTGAAAAAAGACATAATTATTTAAGAAAAGTTTGCGAAGTGGCTGTATAAACATTCATTTGTAATGATAAAATTAACGTTTAAGGTTTAGTATTGGCAGGTAGTGGTGATTTTAAAACTGAATTGAGTCAAACATAAATGTTTGATCCTAGATTATAATGTAAAATAGTTAAAATTGTAGATGTAGGCTATGGAGGTGAGAATGGATTGAATTAGGCAATTGAATTATCTTAAGAATCTTTAGCTAATGTAAAATTTGTGTAGGAAAAGAATGTTATTTCTAAGTTCTTTGACAATGTGGCAATTGATAGTGGATAAATTGTATATGGAATTAATGATACTATGGCACTTTTATTAGATGGTGTTATAGAAACTATACTTTGCTATGAAGAATTAAATACACTTAGAATTACAAGAAAAAATAAAATCACTGAATGTAATTTTTTATTTATAATTTTTAATATTTTTTTTAAGTTTATTTTTTTTAGAAATTAGTTATATTTATATTCCTCCAACTGAAATTAACAATGTGAAACATTTCAAAGATGGAGAACATGAGTTAGAAAAAGTTGAAGTGGAAAACCTTACTGAATGGTTAGCGGAAAATTATAATAATTATGGAGCTGAATTGTAGTTTGTTACTGATAAATCTGCCGAAGGGTGCTAGTTTGTGAAAGGATTTTCGGGATTAGGAGGATTTTTGAGATATAAAGTTGAAGTAGAACATGTTGTAAATAATAATAATGACGAATATAATTATGATGAAGATGAAGATTTCATTTGAAAGAAAATATATTTTTAATATTAAAATTATTATCGATTATTTTTATTTTTTTGAGTTTTTATGTTTTTTTTTTTAATTTTAAAAAATTAAGTAATTTGCCATTTTATTAAAATATTTTTCTCTTTATTTATTTATAATTTATATTGTAAATAGATAGAGATAATATAAATTACTTATTTATATCTTTATTAATAAAAAAAAATATGAATTAATATATTGTATATAGGTTTATATGAATTAAAAATTATATATAATAGGTAAATTATTTCTAATATAAGCCTAAAAAAATAATAAAATATTATTAAATAAATTTTAAAGTATTTAAGCTAAAATAAAAATAAGTAAAATAAAATAAAAGAAACAAATATTAAATTATTTAGTCTAGACATAAGAAATCATAGAAGCAAATAATTAATATTTCATAAGAATTATCAGTATTCAAATCTACCCTTTTCAGTAATAAAAGCTCCCCCCCCCATAAGCACATAAACTATGTATTCATAATCAAAAAAGAGAAAAATATTTGGAAATATGTTTAATTACTCATTTTTTTCAATAGAAATAAGAAAAATTAGATTAGATTAGATTTAAAGATTAATAATACAAAAAAAAGAAAAAATTACTTAAATTTTAGAGCACTTTAATTTAAATAGGAATTACATAAAATTCCTTAAATAAATATATAAAATTAAAAAGAAATAAGTAAATAAAAAATAAAATTGTAATGTAGTCCTCTATTTTAAATGAATATGATAGGTGCATGGTTAATTTTTCTTTCTTTTATTCTTTTTTAAATTACTCTTTTTTAATTAATAATAGTAAAACTAAATATTTTATAATAATTATACCAATTTCTTAAAAATCATCAAAATATAATAATAATTAAAATAAAAAACAGTCAATTAAAATTGATGTGAAAAAAAAGCTAGAAGCCAAAATAAAAACATTCATACATTCGATAATAAAAAATAAACTATTAAAAATAATAATAATTATACTAGAATAATATAACGAAAAAATTAAATAAAATATTGTAGTGACTTAACTTTTTATTGATTATTACAAAGTCCAAAATAAAATTCTGAATTTTAGTATCGAAAATCAAATTTATGAATATGATTAAATTAGTATATTAACTTCTTAATTAAATTTAAAAACTAAGCATTTAGAAAAATATAATATTATAAATACTTAATTGTAATAAATAAGCTTTCTAAAAAATTCCTAAAAGTTTTAAAGATAAATAAAAAAATTAATATTAAATATTCTAAAAATTATATTATAAATTATAAAATAAAATTAATATAAAACATGAAATTGTATTAATATATATATATATTTATATATATATAAAATACTATTTATATTTTTTTATTTAAATTAAAAAAAATATTATCATTGCTATTATTATTCAAATTATATTGACATTTCATTAAGCTTTTACATAATCTTTTACATATTTGGTCTTAACAAGGGATCAATTTAAAGAATATCTTTAACAAGTAAATACATATCATTAAGGATAACATTAAAAGAATTAATTTAGACTCCCTCATAAAGACGAATATCTTAAACACTTTATTAAGATGGGAAAAACTCAAAGAATAAACAGAGTAAAACAACTCCAAAAGCCCAAACATCTTATTCTTTGTTAATAAACTTTCTCCCAACATAGAAAGATTTGTCATAATCTTCAATATTTTCTTTATTAAAATTACCTTCGTTTTAGTTTTCTTAAAAACCGGCAATGTTTTCTGGTGAAGTAAAGGCTAAATAAGTATCCTATTCATCAACATCAGCTGCGATTTCTTAAAAGAAAATTTTCGAAATATTCCAGTCAGTAATAAAAGCATTAAAATTACTATCTATAAGTATATTTTAAAGCTTTAAATTTAAATGCACAATTTCATTTTAATGTAAGACACACAACCCTTTGCAAATTTAAGAAACTATTTTAAATGACATAGAATAGGAAAGAATAAGATTTTCTTATAGAATTTATTAAAGGTTATTTTTTTTCAAGTCCATAATTAAAAGTATATTAATAGGTCCTTAGTAATTTTCAGCAGAAAAATTATTATTATTTTTTAATTGTTTTGGAACCCATCTCGAAATTCCTAAAATAGGGAAAAGATTAGGATGAATAATACTTAGATTATTCACTAAGATTTTCTTAACTTTATAATAAAAGCTTTTTTTCACAAATTAAATTAATTTTCCAGCATACAATTCATTATTGTAAAGAATTGTATGGACACTTCCAAATTGGCCTTTTCTAATCATACTTTTAATCTTAATTTCTTAAGAAGATATTTCCATTAGTTAATACCTTTGGAATACTTATGCCAGACCAGAGGCTTGGTTTTGGTCGTCTATTATATTATTTTAATTATTCATTATTCGGTACGATTTCAAAGACTATAAAGTTGCTTATGGAAGCATTGCTTTTTAGCCTTAATATATGTTGCTTTCGTATTATTTATTGGAATTCAAGTTTTATATTTGGTAGTTTTATATATATAGGTTGGGTTCTATTGTTTGAATTTTTTATATTCTACGCTAGGATTTGCGATAGAAAACTTCATATTGGAATGTGTGGCAGTTTTAAATTATTTATTGATTTGTTTGGTATAGATTTTATACTTTGTAAAAATACCGAGAGGCTACATTGTTGTTTGATTTATATTTTTGGTGGATTCTACCTAAATAATAGTTAGATAAAATTTTCGAAAGTATTTGTTCGATCATGCTTCGAGAGCACTGTTCGAATAGAGATATTGATTTGTCGAAATAATAATATTCTTTACTTAATGTTTCATATTTTTCCTCTTTTTATTAGGTTTTTTAGGAAAAGAATTTTATTTATTCTTCTGCTATACCTTCTTTTTATAGCTTTTTATATAAAGATCCTAATTTGTAGTAAGTAAATGCATACTATTGTTCGTTTTCTTCTATCAGATCTAATTCTTAGAAACATAATTTAGATGCTTTTAGTAAATCTTTATATTAATTATTTTTAGAAAGAAAATCTGAATAGTATCTTTTTTTTAAAATAAAATAAATTAGTTTATCTTTTAATTTTTTTTTTAAAAAAAAAACATTAAAATATATATGATTTCTTGCTTTTCATTAATTAAATTAAATTCTACTCTTTCTTATATCAAAGGGAAAATATTTGCAAAAAGAAGTTCAAATTAATCAAATAAATTTTATTAAGATTTATTTTAAAGGCTTTTCCAATTTTTATAAACTAAATAAATTTCCAACATTAAATACCTATTATATTAGTAATATTTATTTTCAGTTTTTATAAGTGACATTATTTATAAATTCCATTCAATTTATTTTGTTAATTAGAGTAAAAAAATCGGATATTTTTATATTAAATCAAGTATATAATCTACTTTTTTATTATTATTTAATGTTTCTGATACGAATAAACTGAATAATATTTAATATGAAAAGCTTTATTTTATTTAATTGTTTGAGCAATATTCTATATTTTTTACTAACATATTCAGTAAGTTATCATACAAGTTTTAACAAGTATCTTAATCTTTGCAAAGTTAAAAAAGAAATAATTATTATTATATAATTATTCCTTCATTGCCTTAATATTCATTTCCGTATTAATATTTAGCCGGTAATTATTTTCTTACTACTCTATTGGCAGTAAACATATCTTAATCTACAAGTTAAATTATTTTGTTTACAATCTAAAAGTTTTAGTATAACGGATATCCATAAAATAATGTCATTCCATTTATTGCAATTATTTAATAGAAATAACTTTCTTCGAAATCGGCTTCTATTTTAAATATATTATCCTTATTTTAATTATATTTATATTAATAAAGATTATATTTATTTTACTTATCTACTATATATTTCTGCAAGTCTATATGAAGATAAAGGATCTAAATAAGATGAACCCAAAATATAATTTTAGATTGATTTTTATAAATCTTCTTTGACATATAAAATGTCTTTTTCATAAAATAGTCCTTCCAAAAAATAATGAAAAGGAGATTTATATTAAGATTATTAACGTGCTTTTAAAAAGTCACTTACTTCTTAACAACAATAGTCTCGAAATTCGTCCTTCCAGTTCATAGCTGGAATTCTTAAACTCTATTCTTCTTCAATTTGTTCTTAGTTTTCGTTTTGCATTTTTTTAATTTTAATTTTTTGTTTAAACAAAAATTTAAATGATAATAATAATTTTAATTTAAAAACAATTATTTGCTTACTTTATTTGAAAAAAATAATAATAAAAACATTATTTAAACTATTTTATTAGTATTTAAATTAGTTCTCAAAGTTTTGATATGTTTTTAAATATTTTTTTTAATATTATTAATTTTAATTAAAAAATATAAGTTTTTAATAAATAAAATAACGAAACAAATTTACTAATTAAATATTATTCTTTAAAATGTATATGATATTTTTAATTGCTTCTAAAATTTCATAATTTGTGTATATATAATATTTTTTTTTGTTAAATATAATTTTTTATAAATATAAATTAAAATTTTCTAAGACTTTTATCAGTTTTATATTAATTATTTCTTTCTTATAAAAAAAATAAAACATAATCTTAAATTTTATATTTTTTAAAATAAAATAAAGATAATTTCTTTTTTTTTTCCTTATAAATAAAAATATATTTTATCAAATGTCTATTACTCTTGAAAGTTTTTAAACTTAATTTAATAGATTATCCCCTTGTTTAAGTGCTTGTTGATATAAAGTATTTCTTTAGTCAACTCTTTCAGATTCAATAATTCCTTAAACTTTATCAATTTTACATGTAAGTCTCCTTCCAGAAATAAGATCAGATAGTTCTTTGTCAATAAAATCAACAGAAACACCAAAAGAACTAGCCATAGATTATAAAGTAACAGTTTTATAAGATTCAAGGAATTAAGAGTATATAACAACTCTAATTTCTCTAGTATAAAATTTAACATGATTAGATAAATATTCATCATTTCTAAGATCAGTCAAAATTTAAGCTTTTTTTTTATTAAATGTTTCATAAATATATCATAAAATAAAACATTATATATTAATTTACTCAAATTTATAAAAAATGCTTTGTAATCACATTTTGCAAATGCATCAAGCAAGTTTTTTAAATAAGGCATATCCCTTATTATAGTTAATATTTCAGAATTATGAACAACCTTTATATTTATATTTATATATAATAATTAATTTATAAAATTAACATTTTTTTTAATTTCTGAACGACCTAAAGAAACAAGTGAAGTTAAAACTGTATAAAATACAAGTTATTTATAAGAAATTATTTCTGATGAATTAAAGGTGCTTATGCATTCAAGGAATAATTAAGAAGTTTTTTTTAAATCTCTAATAAGAAGGTTATATATACCTTCATAAATTCTTTTTTTTTTTTTTTTTTTATAATTAAATTGATTTTTTACCTTTAAACGATTCTTTCTTTCCCAATCTCCTCCTTCTTCAAAAAGTTTTTTACAAAATTCTATTGATTCTTAAATTTTTTACAAATTCTTTTATTTTACATATATTAAGAGAATAACAAACTCTACGTCCATTTTTTTGCCAACGCCAATTGTTTTTTTTTGAGCTTACTTATATATTTCTATTGCTTATTCTATTTTTCCAAATTTTTCATGCAAAACTGCTTTTTCCATAAGACAATCTCTTAATTCTACATCTCCTAAATTTTCTTCAGCATCTTTTATTTTTTCTTCTATTTTTTTAAGTTCTTCTTCAAAATTTTTTTCAATATCCATTTTTATTTTTAATTTTTTTTTATATTAAAATATTTTTATGTTTTATTTTTTTTAAAAAAAACTTATTTGTATATATTTTATTATTTTATTTTTTTAGATCAGAGATTTCTTTAAAAGTATTATTTAATTTAATTTAATTCAATTATATATTTTTAGATGCTATTTTTATTATTTCTGTAATTTTTTTATAAAAACTCAATTAAAAAAAAGCCCTCGTTTTTTTTCGCCTTTTTCTTTTGTTAGATTAAGTTTTTTATTTAAAAAAAAAATGCATCACAAAAAGTAATAAATAAAAAAGTCATTTAATTTTATTAATTCAAATTATATACGGGTTGAGATTATAACATAAAAATACTAAAAGTAATTTATTTTTAAAATCTTAATTTAATATAAATAAACATTATTTTTTTAATATTTTATTTGCTAATTATAGTTTTAATAAAATAGATATAAAAATATATATTTATTTATAATTAGATTATTATTTTGATTTAATAATAAAAGCAAAATATTATTTAACATCTATAAAATTTAAGATTTTACAAAAAATAATTAAAATTAAATAAAATAATTCTTTAAAATATATTTTTTTTTAAAGATAAAAATAACTAATAATAGTATCGCATTTATTTTGAAAAAAATAATAATCTAATTTATATTTTTTAAAAAAATTAATTCAAATATTAATATGTATTACTATAACAAATAATCTTAAAATAAACAATTCCTTTTAAATTTTTATATTTCATTATTGAAAATAGAATTATAGTTTATATATATTATTTGTTATATCTTTGATAAATTTATTTATGCAATAAAAAGAAAAATCATTAATCTTTCCACCAATTTGCACAGTAACGAGCATCCCCGTTTTCAATAGCTTGTTGAATTTCTGTTGGAAATAATCTGAAATTTCTCACATAAAGAGAATGATTATAATGATTTTATACTGATAATCCATATTTATAACCTGCTAATGTTCCACACAAAATAAGATAGTACCTGAAATAAAAATATTTTGGGTTACAATAAAGATCTGTAAAAACACGTGAAGCCTTTTTTTTTACAATTAATTACTAACATTTATTGTTTTTATTACCACAAAACCTGCTAATGGTCCAGCTACTTTCCAAAATTAAACTTTTCTATGTGAAATTGAAGTTTATAATTAATTTTAAAATTATACATCTTATTAAAAAATATTTTTTTTCATATATATGTTCATTTAATATTTACCATTATTTTTGGAATCCCAAAATCTTTATAATGCTAATCTTAATCTTCTTCTGTTTTCAGAATCATTATCAGTATTAATACCTGAGTTGGTGTTATTAAACGGAGAACCAAAAAATGTCATTATCTTTATTTTAAATAAAATATTTTATATATAAATTATAATTTATTATTAAAAATTAAAAAAAATATAAATATTTTTTTTCTTTTCATAAATTTATTTTTCAAATATAATCTAAATCATATAAACTAAATGATTTTATTATTATTATTTAATTTCCAATTTCATTAATAAATTTATGGTTTAATATAATATGATTATTTATTCACTTTAATAAATAAACATTATTTAGCTTTATATTTCTAATTATATATTAATTAATTATTATTAATTATAATTTTTAAAATTTATAGACTAGAAACATCAATCGTTTATTGAAATAATCAATTGAATATTTAATATTTAAAAAATTATTTCAATATAATTAGTTAATTCAGTTTATTGCTAATATATAAAATAAAATATAATGTTTATAATTATTAATATTAATATAAAAAGTTTAGATTATTTTTAATATAAATATTTTTAAGAAAACTGAAATCTAAATATTAATTTTTAGTTTTAATAAATATTTTTAAAAAAAATTAACAAATTTTAAATTAAGAAAAAATTTAAATATATGATTTTTTAAAACAATAATACTAAAATTAACACATAAAATGATATTTTTGATACAGAAAATCTTAAAATAAATAATCAAAATTCTCCATAATTTAATTAATCAGATGTAAAATCGTTTACAAATGATAATATTACTTAATTTTAAGAATTATCATAAAATAATATTGAAAATATATAATAATTAGGTTAATATTAATAAAAAACAATTTTAAAAATTATCTAAGCATCATAAAACTAATAGTATATCATATTTAAAAGAAAATGAGTAATTGAAATAAAAATTAGATGAATATAACTTAAACTAATAACGAAAAAGAACAAAAAGCAATATAAACGAAATACAATGTGAATAAAATATATTAGATTAATATAAATAATTATCTATAAACTATAATAATGCTTAATAAAAAATGCTTGAACTATAAATATAAAATAAATAAAAATCTGAAACTATATAAAAATAAAAAGAATAATTATAAGTAAAAAAAAAGAAATTCAATTTAAAAATTAATAATTAATAATTTTATTTATTTACTTATTTGTAATTAAGATGTAAAACTATATACTTTAATAAAAAATTCAAAATCTAGGTTTAGAATAATTTTTATTTGATTTAGTTAAGCAATGTAATGAAAATCATATAGATATTTTTGCAAAAATAGCTAGCCTAAAAGTATTTTTATAATAGATAATTTTATTTTATTTTTTAAAAAAAAAATATTTAAAAGATTGAAATCGATAACTAATAAACATAAAATAAAGATCAATAATTTATTTTAAATGAATAAAATTCATCAATAAACTTAAAAAACTAATAATTAGTAATTTTATAAAACAATAATGAAGAAATTAAATAAATTAATAATTAATAATAAAATTAAATTAATCTAAATCAAAATGAAATTATTAATTTGTAAAAAAATTTGAATAAAATTAAAGAAGAAAATCAAGTTCTCCTTAATTATTATTAAGATCTATAAGGGCAATTAAATTAATTGTAAAAAGAAAATACTAACTTAAAATAAAAAAATTAAAAATATAATGAAATCTTAGATAAATATTAAAAATATTAAGAAAAATATAAAATTGAAAAAGAAAGTAATCTATAATGTTAAATATTAATATTTTTTTAAAACAAAAAAATAAAGAAAATTAAACTTTGATATAAGAAACATAATCAAAAACTGTAAAAATATAAAGTTTATAATCTAAAATAAAAGATATAGAAAATAATTTTAAATAAGTAAATATATAAAAAGTATAAATAGATAATCTTTAATAAAATGAACAAATTCTAAATGTGAATATTAATAAATTAGAATAGATATTATAAAAGCAAAAAAACAAAAAAAAGTTATATTAATAAGTAATTATATTTATTAAATGTATATAAATAAATATATATATATATATATATATATATATTTATATTTTATTTTTAATTTTTTAAAAAATTAAAAAAGCTATTTATAAAAATATAAGATTTAATTTATGATAGAGAATTATTAGATATTTTTAATGAATATAAAATTATATAGACTTAAATTTTTGACTTAGAATACGAAAAATTTGAATTAAATAAAAAAGAAAAATAAAACTAAAGTAATTATTTAAGTTAATAAGAGTAGAAAGACATAAAAAAATAACCAGAAATAAAATAAGTCTAATTGTAATAAAAATTAATTAAAATTAATTAAAAATTAGAAAAAGCGTAAGAAAATGATTATTTGAATAAATAAAAGTTTATTGAGTTAGAAAAATCTAATAATTAATTAAAAAATGAGATTAATTATTTAAAAAATGAATGCTAACTAAAAGAATCTTCTAAATTGAATATTGAATAATCTTATAATATATTACTTTAAGATTTTAAAAAAATATCTTCTTAATAATAAAAAAATAAATTGACATTAGATAATTCTGTATTAAATTCTAATAGGAGCTAAGGTTTAGATATAAAAAAAAACATAGAGGAAAATAATTATTAAACAAAAATACAAATACTTAAAAATTAACATACTAAAAGTAGTTCATCTATTAATCTTTAATATTTAAATTAAAATAAATAATAAATAATCGAAACCGATGAGTCCTTAAAAGAAATATATAAAACTAAAAAAGTCTATTAAATATATAAATGAAAATAAATATTTTAAAATATATATATATCTTAAATAAAATTAAATTACAAAATTTTTAATTTTTTTTTTTTAAATATAATTTATATATTTATAAGTATATTTATAAGTATATTATTAATCTTAATATTTTTCATTCTAATATCTTTTTTATTTTAAAATATTTTTAAATTATTAAAATTATTAACCTTTTTTTATTAAATTGATCTTTTTAAAATTAATTGATTTAGTGAATCTGTTTTTATAAAATAAAATTATCTAAAGCATGTTTAATTTTTTAAAAATAGACTTTATATTCTGCATTTTCAATTAATTTTATGATTGAATGTTATTTTTTAATATTGCGAATTTGTATAATTTTATTATTTTAGTTCAATATAATTAAGAAAATTAATTTCTTATTTAATATTATTATTTATTTTAAAGTATTTTAAAAATAAATATAAAAATATTATATATATATCTTATATTATATATTTATATAATATTAGTATTATATAATAAATATGTTTTTATATATAATTTATTTTTATATATTTAATAAAGAAAATTTTGTAGTAATAACTTCTCTAAATTTTAAAATTATTTCAATAGAAAAAAAAATTAATTTAGATAATTATTATATTTAAGATTGTTAACACGCTATATATTAAAAGCTTTAGAAATATTTATGTAATAATAGATATATAATTTTAAAATAAATAACTGAATATTATGTAATCAGGAATATTTAAAAATTTACATTAAAATTTTTTATTAAGCAATTCATAAAAGAAAATTTTTATTAAATAGCTATTTCTTTTTTTGTTATTACAGCAAATAGAAATCATAAAAATGTGAAACTAAAATTTATTATTTTTTTAAGAATTTTAATTATTTAAAAAAAGTTTAATTTATATTATCAATAAAAGCCTAAAAATTATAAATAAATTATTCATAAAAATATATTGAAGATATTATTTTATTTATAACAATAAATAATTTATATTATAAAAAAAAAAAATTTTGAATATATTTAATTATTTATTTATTTTTGTTTATTTATATATTTTTATTTTATATATTTTTTCTATAATTTATTTTTTCAAACATTTTTATTATTTCTTATTATATCTTTGCTTTATATATTATAATTTTATTTTATTATAAAAGAAATATTTGTAATTTCCTTTTTTTTAATTATAATAAATTTATTTATCATTTTAAAAATTAAAATTATCTAATTTAATTTAATTATATTTTTAATTTAATTTTTTTAATATTTTAATTTATTATATAATATTAATTTATATTTTTTATATAATTTTATAAAAAATTATACATTTTTTATTTAAATTATTTCAGAATTATTTTGTTTATTACAAGTTTTTTACTTAACTATTTTATTATTAATATAAAGTTAATATTAAAAATAAAAATTTTATGATAAATTTAGATTATATAATACAATATATGCAAATTAATATTATTTAATTAAATAAAAGATAATATAATTTATATTATATGTAATATATTATATTTATAAAAATATTTATAAAATATTTATTAATAAATCATAAAAAATATATTTTTTTTATATTTAATACATTTATTATTATAATTAATTTTTTAACTTTAATTTTAATACAAAAAATGTTTTATAATAATTTATTTAATTATTTATAAATAAATATTTCATATATTTTCTTTCGTTAAAAAAATAGAATAAATTGTTGATAGTTTTATAAATAATATAAATTTACGTAGCCTTATTTGAATGCTTATATTTATTTTTTATAATTCAAAAATATTATTTTATAATTAAATTTATTATTTGAATTTAATTTAAATAATTTGAAGCTTCTTATAAATATTGCTTTAATTATTTATTGTTTATATAAAGTTATAATTTTATGAATTTAATTAGGATAAAATATATAAAAAAACAAGAAAATTGTAATATAAATATTTGATTTTCATAAAGAACCTTTAATTTAAGGAAATGCTAAAATGCCCATTGAAAATAAAATAATTATAAAGTAATAAACATATAACTATTAATGTTATCGGTTATTAAAATTAAACTATAATTTTCTCTTAGAATATATTTATTTAGTTATAAAATTAATTATCTTTCCAAATAAAAAGTCTTTTTCGAATACAATTTAATAATGATTATGCATTTATAATAGCAAACTTAAATTATCATTTTCTACAAAAATATTTAAAAAAAAAATAGTTAAAAAAAAATATTACTTAAACTTTTATTATAATATGTCATTTATAAAATATATATAATAAAAGAAAGCGTTAAACCCCATAAAA